TCCACGAACGCTGCTGCTGCATGCTGAATGCCCAGGCATACAGAGCAGCGATCGTGACCATCAGAAGATGACATGAATCGACCGCACCCAGAAGAACACGGGGGAGACATCTTTAAAAAGACGTGCCACGTGCAGCTCTTTCAATGAGAGGAGGAAATTCACTCTTTCAGCGCTGAGGCGACCAGGGAGAAGCGCAAAGTCTGGCAGACCACTGCTCAGATCGCAGGCGATGCAGAATCTCGCTGGGTACCGCCGTCACACCAACACTGAAGAGGACGCTCGTCTCGAAGAGTCTTGAATCAGTGAGAATGGCTTTAGGAGTGAAGAGGTCTCTTGGCTCCGAAGCGCAAACATACTGCGGTTGTGTTCACTTCCTCCTTTTATACCCACTGCGTGGGGCGGAGATACGCTATGCAAATTCCACAGCCCCAAGGCATTTTCATGCCATTGGCTCGTTTTTAAATACTCGAAGAGGATTGGCTTTCTATGCGAAACCCCCATTCTCCGTCACTTCTGACGTAACTCGAAGTGACTACGAAAGGGAACCGCAAGAGTAATTTCAGGGTCTTTTGTTAAAAATAACGTTTATTAGTCAAATTCTCATTGGAAAAACAAAATAGCAATAGCAATCACACAAGCACTGAACTGAGTATATTGAATATGTGTATTAATATGTTTATGGAATGCTTTGTGATAATCTTATTTAATGTGTATATTACTTAGTCAATAGTTTGGACATTTTTATTTGATTAGTTCTCAGTATGCAATTTTGTACCTTTTGGTCTTTTTTCAAAAATATTTTTTCTTCAAATTATTTCATGTTTGAGCTCATCGGTTTCCAAGGGTTTAACTCGTATGCCTGTGGGGAAAGAACTGATTTTGGATTACTGCATAAAATAATCTGTGAGAAAGTTCATGATTCTTATACGTTTTGTTCATGATAATCTTCACCAAGGAACATGAATTTTGAAGCGAGAAGTACAAAAAGTAGGCTATAAACACTTCACTATGGTCGTCCTCACTGCGCTTCCGACAACTTTCAGTCGTCATTTTTTATTGCTTTCAGTTCATTTGTAAAAAACATTTTCCCTTAAGGTTGATGAGTTTACCTGTTTGATGTGATGATGTTTAATGTCCCTGACAACATCTGGAGTCCCATTCATCTGATGTATTTTATGTCACAGAATAAAATGTGAGAGTATCTTGAGGTTGTGTTCACCACAGACCTTATTTCAGGTATTTAACCAAAAACCCACTGGCTTTGAGACAATGGAACCAGAAGTGCTAAAATGCAACTCGTTTAGAGGTTTTGGCCTACGGAAATACACTATCCCTGCAGCATAACAACATTACAGATATCCCGAATGAAATGCATGTTTAAGTTAGTTTGGAAAGACTGGTGTGTGTTTGGGCAGGTTTTCTACAGTGAGAGTGTGTGTTGTCCTGCTGAAGACGAGGACATTGTGTGTAATAGTCTGCCCGTCTCTGGCTGCTGTGCCGCCGTCTTCCTCCCGTCTCAACCGGCTCGACTCGCAGTGATCCAGTCTGAAGGCCTCTTCACCAACAAAACACTTGCAGTCTTCGACCTGGCCTTAAAGGAGTCCAAATACAAAAGGGAACCACAAGGTTAGAAAACTATTGCTTTTCTTGTGTAAGCAAAAAATTTGCCATTTTTGTGTGTCCCTTTGCAAATGCAAATGAGCTGCTTCTTCTGCTCAGAAGAGGGTGGAGCTTCAGAGACTCCAGCAATAAAAAACACACCAATCACTCCAAAACTCAGAAATAACCCTAAGCGAGTTTCTGAATTGGTAGTGGAGACATGTATGTAGTTGTTGTGGAGTTACATTGATTCACCTCATCGACTTGCCTGTACCGTCATGTTTAACTTTTACACAAGTGTCCACAGTTCCTGAGGTGTTCATAAGACAGCGGTGACATGTTCTGTTCAGTGCTCATCTGTGCTTAACCACAGAACAGTTTCAGGCTTTGCTGGATCTTCTGCCGTTGCGTTAGAGCTGGTCACTGGTTGTTGCTTGTGAAACCAAATGTTGGCTGGTGTGTGTAAACGTACAAATTAAGGGTTGGTAATATTATAATAAGATCCCCTTCCTACATCAGAAGGGGAGCAAAATCTGATCGGCTTATTTTTTTGACATGCTTGCAGAGAAAGGCTTACCAAAACTAAGTTTATGGGTTTCACTTTTCAGGTTTTCTGGGTTGGTAGATGCACAGAGGACTATGCTGGGTTGGTAGATGCACAGAGGACTGTGAATCTGAAAAAGTCAGATTTTCATGATATGTCCCATTTAGTGCAATATTTGTTGTTTACAATCTTCACGGACCAACAAATTGAAAATTTTTTGATGTGATGTTTCCTGAATGTCATGCCTTCCTGCTGTAGCTCAGCAAGTGGCGTGTTTCGAGGTCACGCTGAGCCATCAGTCAGATGTGGTCCTCGAGGCGAGAGGGAACAGCACTCTTCTGGTCGCAGACGGGAACCATCTGAAGGTCTACACGTTTAAAGGAGAACTTGTGGCTAGTTTTCAAGACCATTTACAGCCAATCGTTGCTCTCTGTGTGGTAAGTGTTTGAACACTCACATCTACACTTTCCCCGCGAGTCGTCTCGCTCATAAAGCATGCGTTGTACTGACTCTGCAGGACAGTTTCCGGGTGGTGACCGCATCTCGAGACCTGTCTCTCAGAGTACTGACCTGGAGAAATGACCCAGAGCATGGGCTGACCCTGGAGAGCCAGTATCACCTGCTCGGAGGATCCCTCCAGAGATCCAGGTACAGCGCAATCACCCGTACTAACAACTAGGGTTGTCACTTTTGAGAAAAAAAAATCTTGTTCGATTTTCCATGTCTAAAAACGTCTCCATTTTCAACACCAATTGACCTATGGCTAAGCCACGCCCCCTCCACTCACTCGGACAAACAGTCAGCATTCGGGGACAGGCGCTATGGCAGTTGTCACAGTAGGAGACATTTCACAGGAGGCAGTTGGATAATGTTAACGTTTTCTATTGTTAGGCTAACGTTAGACTAACGTTACGTTAGAGATTTTAAAGATAACGTTCAAATACGTTGTTGACTTAATTTGATGAACGTCAACGTTGTTGACTTAATTTGATGAATCAGATGTAGACATCCTTTCTTAATTTATCTACGTTTAGTTGGTGTTGTGGTCTACCGCATATAATTGCATAACTTAATCCAGAGCAGACACTTATCTCGGTTGAGATGTGGCTTGGGAAAGGGTAAAAAATTCACACCGTCGCCCAGCCTCTCGGGAACCTAGTGTCGGAGTAGCATGTACCCCATAAACACAGTTTGACCATTTTAAACTTAAAATGACAAGAAAAAACAAATGAAAACTGACTAACTGCAATGGATTTGAATGGGCGTGGAAGCAGAGAATGTATTGGGTTAGCTTCGCACTGTGATTGGCTCATCGCGTTTGAGGGTGTGGCTTAGCAATTATAGGTCAATTATAGGCAAATCCATGGATACCTAACAGGCATTAGGACGCGCACAAGTCAGCAATATTTCGGGTGATTTATTGACATGAAGTTCACACTGACAAACAGGAGTGCAACATTCAGAGATTGTAATCAACACCCTCTGACCCAACTGCGGGTAAAAATGAGCTTTGGTGGGAAACGCTGTCAAATCACGAGCCAATCTGCCGTGTTTCTTCTACGTTTACTCACTTTGCTGGGGAAGTTTGTGTCAGCCAAATCTGCGCAGCTTTAGCTCAAATACGCCACTCGTGAGTCCTCGTGATATATTAAATATAGTGTATTGCAGAATCTGCACATTTCTGGCTTCCTTGAACACGCAACAAATAACGCTGCACTTGTTCACTTGCATTGAAGTAATAGCGAATATTAAAAAGCATTTGGTTAACAGAAAAGATATTATTTTCCAACATCCTACATGTTCTGTGTCCTGTACATGGATTGATCTGTCAAACTAAAACACATTTTTGTTAAAAATCGATTCCCCGTTTTTTGTTTGTTTTTTTTTTAAATCTTGTGTTGGTTTGTCTGATCGATTTTCAAATCTAAAGTGACAGCCCTAGTTACAAGTCATGTTCACATGTAATGTATTTTGTAAATTGACGTTTGTCTTTTTTTTTCTCTGTCTAGAGGTTTCACCGATGTTGCCTGTGATTACTCCAGTATAGTGGCCTCGGTGGAGTCATTGGATGGGAAGGATGTTTTGAAGGCTTATACCTTTGATTTCTGAAACCCCCACATGTATTCAGATCTTTTGCTCTTGCATTGATGAGACAATAAAAGCTAAGTTAAAAGGCTGTAAGCTCATCTTCAGTTAGCGTACACACCTTAGCCTTTACATTAATGTAAAATAAAGACAGTTTTCATTTTTTGTTTGCATACAGTCTATTTATTTTATTACAAATAACTTTACAAACATGGTACAAAAATGAGAGGTTTCAATTGAAGTGCTTTTCAAGTATTAACACCATGGCACTTAATCACAGTATGTAATTTATCTACATCAAAACACTTAACGGTAACAATAAGGTTCATTAGTTAACATAAGTTAATGTATTAACTTACATGAACTAACCATGAGCAATACATTTGTTACTGTATTTGTTCATCTTTTTTCAAAAAAATAAAGCTGTTCAATGTTAGTTCAAAGCGTATAAACTAATGTTAACAACATTTTAATAGTATTAGTCTTTGTTAATTTCAACATTTACTAATAAATGCTGTATAAACGCAGTTAATTATTAGTTCATGCTAACAGATGTAGTTTACTAATGAAACTTATTGTAAAGTGTTACCGAGATAAAATTAATTTTTTCAGCGCTTACAAATGGGAACAATGGATCATGTATTGTTCATCTGAACTAAGAGCCGAGGAACAAACAAAGACTTTGATACGGATCCTCCCATGACCCTGTTCTTCAGTCCTGTGCCAAGATATGTGTGGAGCTTTTCTTTGATGATGGACAGATGTAAATGAACTAACTCTGTTTGCAGTGAAGGTGTTTAGTTAGTTATTGTTACCCGTGTTACACCTCAAACTCGTTCATGGCGGCCGACCTCAAATCATGCAGAACAAGCTTCCAGACGCTCTTCTCAACATCCGAGCTTTTCATCTGAAGAAAGCAAAAAAAGTGAATAAGAGTGTGCATGAATGCACATTTATGCACATCTTTAGAATGAGACAGTACCTGTGTGAAAGCTTTTGCTGCTCGCTCCAGAAAAGCGCTCTCGACTTCCTCAGGTACTGTAAATAAATGAGCGAAACAGTCGAGAATACACCTCACTGTTTCTCTGGAAGCCTGGAGTTGGTAATAAGAATGGATTCAGATTAGTTCCATGAAATCAGTTCCATTTAGAATCATGCATGGAATGCCTCTTGTGACCTCACCCTATCGAGGCTGTTGAGGACAGTTGTGGGGTCCTGGCTGGCCTCGTGTAGCTCGTGGAGATCATGAGCTGAGATGATCGGCTCTTTGAGCTGCTCCAACCAGGACCACAAGATTCCAGACAGAACAAACGGGTCTTTTTCCAAACACAGTCGCTCCCACGCTCCCTGCCGATTCAGGTCGGTCTGCAGAAAAGAACGGTACAAACCTTGCATTGCGAAAACGAAGGTCACATTTTCTATGATTCTATGATTTCTATGATGTGAATAGATCGTTGATTAGCTAGATAAGACATTAATTAGGTCCTGATGCATAGCTGCCTTTCTTCGGCACGGCAATTGTTTAGTTAGATTGAATCTAACTTAAGTTCTTTTCCCCCCTTGATGCAGATCTTTTGGGCAGGTCACTCTCAGGTGCAGACCAAACAACTCTGTTACAGTTCGAATTTCCGTCCAATCAATGAAACCTTAGCACACATGTGGTTTTGTTTACAAATTTTGGTCACTTGCAAAAAGGGCCGTGTGAAAGCAAACCACACCAAAAGCAAGTGAACTAGTGGACTTTCCTGGTGTGAATACACCCTCAGACTTTACATGCTGAAGCCGCTGAAAGGACAGGCATGAAGAGTTGTCTACGCTAGGCCACATACACCCCTGACCTGTTGGTTCAACAACTAGGCTAGGCGCAAATAATATAAGCATGCTATTTTCAGAGCATTCATTTCTCTAGTTCACATGTTCATGTAATCTTCAATGAAGAAGAGGTTTACATATTTGGCTTAAAAAAACTATTGGCAAAAAAGCTTTTAAGTTTAAGGCTATAGCAGATTGGAATAATCTTTAAGTGCTTTCACAATTGTTTCAAAAAAGCTGCAAAATAAATCCAAAACAGGAAAATAATGCAACAAGTTTGTTTCCAGAGGAAAATAGTGTCACAGTCCAGCTTAAGTAAGTTCAGTGGTTAATTTTTGTTGTAAAAAATATATTAATTTAGTTAATTTATATATAGCCACACTGGAGAAAACAGTGTAATCATCCAGCTCAGTTCAGTTCTCATATGATAATGTCAAAGCAGGAAGATCAACAATATTGTTGAATATTAAGTGCACCCAACTAAGCAAGCCAAAAAAGCCAAAGTCGGATTGGTCAGATTAAATGAACATGTTTCTCATTAACTTTTGTCAGAAACTCTTTAAAAATGAACTAAGAAAATCTAAGAAGCCATGCAACCTCTAAAATGGTGAAGACAGTGGAAACCTGTGGTTAAGATAATCATTGCCTTTAGGACAAGAAACCATAAGCCAAAACCTAGATTCAGATCAAGACCTAGACCACAAAAGCAGCATCTCCCATCAGATTTTAAATGATATTTTGCAGTTCCCAACTCATCCTGCTAAACACATGCCTGGAGGTATGTTTGTTCTGAACTCCTTACCCACACCATTTAATCTTCTTAGTTCATTAGCACATGCACCCATTATACCTGCCAAGTGGCCACTTTCTGGATGTGTTTCTTCCCCCCGTCCTTCTCGAGGTCCACGGCGAGGGACTGAGCCACCAGGAGGCGGCGGGACTCCAGAGACAGCTCGGACTGCAGCTTGATCACAGGCACCTCCGAATGCTCTTTCTCATGAACATTTCCAGTCTCGTTGGGGCCAGAATTTTTCTTGCAGTCTTTCTTCCAGAAGGACAACATTCTGGCCATGCTTGTGGAGTTTTTTTCATCTGAAATGCCCACAGATCGGCTCCGCTGCAGGACAGACTGCCTCCTGCTTTTGACATGTTCAGATCCTTCGGCCTGGTCCATGAGTGTCTTCAGCTCCCAGATATTGCTGGTTGAGCTGTAGATGGGATTGTCCTTACAAGCGCTCAGAGAAGGAGGGATATGGCTCTGGGAAAATCCCATCTGATTGCCAAAGGTCGATGAGTGTATGCTGGCTAAAACACCCAGAGGGTTATCTGAGAGGTTGAGAGACGCCGCTAGCCTCAGCAGGTCAGACTCACTGTAGCTGAGGCTCTTACGCACGTAGTAAAGAGGTTGTGAGCTGTCTCCATTGGATCTAGGAAGACCTGGAAGACGTGGGCGGATCATCGTCATCCCATTTCCCGGTAACTCTCTATTAAACTGATAGTTCAAGTTCTCATTCATCGGTTTCTCTACGACAGATGTGATTTCGGAAACTTCGACAATGTCCTCCTCGATGACCTGCCGGTTCTCTGCGATGTCCAGGAGAAGTCTGCAGATGAGGGGAACGAGCTTTGGCACGAATCTCAGCTGCCGAGCCTCGTACCCGTGCAGGATGTGGTTCTGCCGGATCAGAAACTGTTGAAGAGTGACGGCCGGCACTTCAGGATCAGCGCTAGCGAACAGGTTCCTCAGGGGAACGAGAAACTGAGCAAAGTGCCGCACGCACTGGAGCTGTCCTCTCGTCTGGATCGAGTTCGGTCGTTTGCCTCGGACTAACAGAATGGCTTGATCTGCTGTCATCTGTGTGGTGAACAACAAGAAACAGGCCAGCAACACACCTATGACAAAAAGGTGTAAAAAGAGTTAGTATCCAGCTACTGTATATATGTTGCAGTTTGTTTTAGTTTTTTTACTTTCAAGGAACCACACCTAAATTAAACCTTTAACGTGGGTACACACTCCCTCAGCCGGTTTGAGTGGCAAAAGAGCTGCTGCGTGACTGGATTTAATAGGGGAACTCAATTCCTTAAAGTGTTCCTTACAATTACCAAAGATTGAGTGATCCGTGGATATTTGCTGAATGCATTTGCCCGGCGTCGAAATCAGACTCACATTAAATGTCAGGAAACACGATTTCTATGTCAATATCCATGGATCACTGGATCTTTCGTAAGTTGTAAGGAACACTTTATCGAGTCCAACCTTTAGTTTAAACTGATAATCGTTCACTTTACTTTTTCGTGTTTTCGAAATTTAAAATCTAGTCATGTCTTCTGCCACTCAGTCTGGCTGAGAGAGTGTGCTCCTGCGGGACAGTGCGTTCCCTCTATTGTAACTAAAACACGACATGCAGCTAAAGTATTTGTATTACCAAAACAATATCAGTATTGGGAAACGACTACAAGTCAGATTGCCTAAAATGCTGTTGCGCTATATGTTGGAGCGGTATGAGCGGTAAGTTATTTAAAAACATTTGGTTAGTCTTTATTTAAGGTGTTCTTGTTGCAGTGTAATTGTACAAGTACCAAGTAAGATGTATTAACTAAATGTACTTAATATAGGGTTATGTGTTTGTAATTATGCATATTTTATAGTTATTGCTATAGTAATTACGTGCAACAAGTACACTGTGTTACTTAAACGTTGTGCTTGCTGGGTAGTGCTTGACTGACACTAGCATTATTACTGAGATGGTCCCTCTGGAGTAACCTGAGGTTAAGTGTCTTTCTCAAGGACACAATAATGTTAGCATATGGCTGCCAGCAACCGTTCAGCACTTAAGCCTATAAGCCACATCACCCTAAAAAAAGATGTCACCACTGCTCCACTTTTAATCTAAATATACTGTAAACATATGCAACAAAACTATACCTGTTCTGCCAAGTCCCGCGTGACAGTGAACAGCGATTTTGCCTTCTTGAATGGCGAAAGACATGACTTTCACCATATCCAGGATTGATGTGAGAGACGCTACTCCATAATCATTCCATCTAAAGTTGTAGAAATATACTAAAATAGAGCAACAAGAGCACCTTTATAACCTGAAGACAAAAGAACAACCACAGCTACTAGCTCTCGTAATGGTATTACGTTAAGAAGATTCGTTATATCTTTACATCACATTACACAGGAAAGCACAGATTTTGCAGAATTAATTGTTACTCACTGCCAGCCTCCATGAAGGTCTCGGGTCGGTAAGTAAAGCCACTCTCAGGATCTAGCTGGTTTCCACAGCTGGCATGTTCACCAGGGCATTGAAGGTTAATGACGGTCTTCAAACCACAGCTTAACACGACGAAATGTTGAATTATAAGTGTGTACCAAGTATTCTGAAGGCACTTTAAGTTAAGATTAGGTCAGTTTTACCTTAAAAACTGTTCTATAATGTCGAATTTTTCAATAATTTCAGTGGAAGGGCGGGCCATGGCCAGCAGATTATCAGTAATCCTTGAAAAAGAGACAAATTGGAACCATAAATTAACAACTAATCTATTAAAACAGGTCATTATTTCATCAAAAAAAGTTATTGAAGCTGAATCTTGAAGCTGAACTTTTTGTCATGTACACTACATTGTAAAAAGTTTTAGGACATCGGCCTTTACATGCACATTAATGAAATCCCATTGTTAATCCGTAGTGTTTAATATGGAGTTGTCCCAACCTTTGTAGCTATAACAGCTTCAACTCTTATCGGAAGGCTTTCCACAAGGAAGTGTGCTTATGGGAATTTTTGACCATTCTTCTAGAAGCGCATTTGTGAGCCAGGCACTGATGTTGAACGAGAAAGCCTGGCTCCAAGTCTCTGCACTAATTCATCTCAAAGCTGTTCTATCGGGTTAAGGTCTGGACTCTGTGCCGGTCATTGTTGGAACAGGACAATCCCCAAACTGTTCCCACAAAATTGGGACCATGGAATTGTTTTAAAATGTGTTGGTATGCTGAAGCATAAGAGTTCCTTTTACTGGAACTAAGGAGCCAAGCCCAAAACCAACCCCACACCATAATCCCCCTTCCACCGAACTTTACACTTGGCAATGCAGTCAAGCATGTACTGTTCTCCTGGCAAACGCAAAACCTTGACTCGTCATCGGATTGCCACACAGAAAAGCGTAATTCGTTTACACCACTGCATCCCACGCTGTACACCACTGCATCCCACGCTGTACACCACTGCACCCCATGCTTTATACCACTGCACCCCATGCTTTATACCACTGCATCCCACGCTTTACCCCACTGCATCCTACGCTTTACCCCACTGCATCCCACGCTAAACACCACTGCATCCCAAGCTTTGCTCCACTGCATCCCGCGCTGTACACCACTGCATCCCACGCTTTGCTCCACTGCATCCCACGCTGTACACCACTGCATCCCACGCTTTGCTCCACTGCATCCCGCGCTTTGCTCCACTGCATCCCGCGCTTTGTTCCACTGCATCCCACGCTTTGCTCCACTGCATCCCACGCTTTACTCCACTGCATCCCAACGCTTTGCTCCACTGCATCCCACGCTTTACACCACTGCATCTGCATCCCATGGTGTACACCACTGCATCCCACGTTGTACACAACTGCATCCCACGCTTTGCTCCACTGCATCCCACGCTTTGCTCCACTGCATCCCACTCTTTGCTCCACTGCTTCCCACGCTTTACACCACTGCATCCACTGCTTTACCCCACTGCATCCCACTGCTTTACCCCACTGCATCCCACGCTTTACACCACTGCATCCCACGCTTTACCCCACTGCATCCCACGCTTTACACCACTGCATCCCATGCTTTACTCCACTGCATTCCACGATTTGCTCCACTGCATCCCACGCTTTACTCAACTGCATCCCACGCTTTACTCTACCGCATCCCACGCTTTGCCACACTGCATCCCACGCTTTGCTCCACTGCATCCCACGCTTTGCTCCACTGCATCCCACGCTTTGCTCCACTGCATCCCACACTTTACTCCACTGCATCCCACGCTTTACTCCACTGCATCCCAGGCTTTACTCCACTGCATCCGACGCTTTGCTCCACTGCATCCCACGCTTTGCTCCACTGCATCTCACGCTTTACTCCACTGCATCCCACACTTTACTCCACTGCACAGTTCATCTCCAACCCTAATCAAACACACCTGCCATTAATTTTCAAGTGATCCTGAAGACCTTAATTGGTTTCTTCATGCGTGTTTGATTAGGGTTGGAGATAAACTGTGCAGGACTTTCTATCTGCAGGAGCAGGGTTGGGCACCCCTACTCTATGCAATGTTCTTGGGTCACTGTTCTGAAGGCCAGACAAAGTTTTTGAGGTCTTAGCTATTGACTGTAGAACGCTGCAGACCTCTGTGCATGGTGCGCCTCTGCATGCCCTGACCCCACTCTGTGATTTTTCGTGGCTGAGTTGCTGTTGTTTCCACTTTGTTATAATACAGTACCATTAACAGTTGACCGTGGAAAATTTATTAGTGAGGAAATTTCATGAATGGACTTCTTGCACAGGTGGCAACCTATCACGGTACCACACTTGAATTCACTGAGCTCCTGAGAGTGACGCATTCTTTCACAAATGTTTGTAGAAGTGATGTTTGTTTGTTTGATGGTTGTGTATGTTGATTTACACAACTGTGGCCATGGAAGTGATTGGAACACCTGAATTCAATTATTTGGGTGTCCCAATACTTTTGGCAATATAGTGTAAAATCAAATATGAGCAAGCTTTTAATTACAGTTGAGTTTTTTGTAATAAATAATCATTATTTTTGTAATTTTGCTTGGCAAATAAAAAGGAAAAATGAACGTGCTATTCTGACAGAGATCTCAGCACAACATATAGAGAAGGTTAATTACCAGACTTTTATATTTGAATAAGTTTAAGTAAATGTACCAGGATGAGTAGACTCCTCGTATGGCCTGCCGGTCCTCACTCCAGTGGGATGGGTCCTCATACTTGCACGCCTGTCCTCCACACCCAATGGAACACTGCATGTGGCAGGGGATCATGTAACGCAGCGCCTCTCCAACCATTGTGTATCTGGATCTGGGAACCCTGGAACCCGTCACTTTAAAAACACAAGCATAATTTAGTCTAAAATTTGTCTGAAATTAATTTCTACTCAGGTGAGCAAAACAAACTGGCCAAGTGATGAGACTGGCTCATTTCTGTCATATAGATGTGTAGTAGATCCTGTTGCTTTACTGATCACAGCATGAAATCAAAATGCCTTTTAAAAAGGTCAAATGGTGGTTCTTGTAAAGTCAGACTCTAGAAGAACACAATGAACACACAAATTTGGCATTTTTGGGGACATTCAATATTCAACAATATTATTGATCTGTTGTATTATTTTCATGTTATCACTGTAT